ACCCTAAACCCTAAACCGGGATCCGATTATAATTTAAGGTCTATTCCTTAATTAAGGGGTTATGGAGGCTCCATGCTTTGAGGGTTTTAGGGTTTTTGGTTTACGGGTTTCGGGTTTAGGGGCTTAGGGGTTTAGGAGTTTAGGGGTTTAGGATTTGGGTTTAGGGCTGGACTTTGAAGTAACCAGGGAGAAAAACGTATAGACGTTTATTTCATAACGGCTCCTTTAAGGAACAGGTACCAAAAAAGTATTCAAGCATGGTACTCCAAACCCAGGTTTAGAGTTTAGGGGCTCGGGCTTAGCCCAGGGTTTCTAGGGTTTAGGGTTTAGGGGTTTCAGGGGTTCACGGGTTTGTGATTTGGAGTTCGGAGTTTAGGTTTAGGGGTTTGGGGTTGCTTACAAGCACTGTGGCGTGGGCTTGAGGAGTAGGGTGCACATTCGAAGGACAGTGCAGCAGTAAAGAAGCGCACTTAAGCTGCAAATATACAGTCACACATGCTAACATGAGTTGCGTTCGCGAGGTTTGGGTGTATTGATCAGAACACTTATACTTATCGTATGTGGTTGAGGGTTTCGGGTTCCAAAAGTTGACGGCTTAGGGCTTGCTTGGGTGTTGGTAGGGCTTGTCTAGTGGTTCAGGGTCTCGGGCACTGGCTTACTATCGCCTCAAAAACTGAACTCTGATACCCTGAACGCCTTAAGCCTCCTAAAACCACTAAACCTAACCCCTAAACCCCCTAAAGCCTTAAGCCTGGGAAGCCCTCTTGTGTCGAAATCTCGTTTTATTTCCACCGGCATCGGCATCATATGCCAAACAGCCGACCAGGCTTCGCAAAAACACAGCAACAGCAAGAGTTGCTACCAGTTACTCAGGCTTCTGAAAAACGACCAGCATCATCCGCATCCGCTGGCGATGCTTTCCAAGACCACACCAGCTTGTACCACGATGCCAGGTGAGACCAGCATCATCAGCATCAACCGGCTTGCTCGACGTTGCCACGACACGCAAAAAAAGAAGCTATCATGAGCTGGCGGTGCTTTGCAAGATCAATGGGAAGACAGCAGCATGAGCAGCATAGTCGGACCGGCTTTTCCAAGGTCCACGGAAGGTGGACCAGCATCATCAGCATCAGCCGGCCACTCTTTTCCAAGACCAACAGCACAAACCAAACGTCGTCAGCATCATTCGGATTTCGTTTTGAAAGATCCCCGGTACCGACCAGCGTCATCAGCATCAGCCGGACAGGCTTTGCACAGCACAGATCAAAAGGCCTCAGCATCATTCGGACGGGCTTTTACAGAATCCACGCCCCAGGCCAGCATCATCAGCATCAGTCGGACGAGCTTTTTGCAAGATCCCCGGCACCGACGAGCATCATCAGCATCAGTCGGGCTGGCTTCTACAAGTTTCACGGCGCAGACCAGCATCATCAGCATCAGCCGGCCAAGCTTTTCCAAGACCCACGCCCCGGACCAGCATCGCCCTCGTTTCTCCGGAATCCACGCCGCAGACCGGCACCATGAGCATTAGTCGGACGGGCTTTTCCCAGATCCACAGCACAGCACGCATCATCAGCATCAGCCGGAAGTGCGTTTCCCATATTCACGGCGCAGACCAGCATCATCAGCATCATTCGGCCGGGCTTTTTGCAAGTTTCACGTCGCAAGTTAGAAGCGTCATGCCGTCAAGCCTCTCCAAGATCCATGCCATAGACAAGCATCCTCAGCACTTAGTTGCTGAGTTCATAAGCCCCAAAAAGTGTACACTTTCAGTTTTATAGTGGGTAATATTATCCCAAAAAGTGTAAAGTGTATCCACTCAGCTACTAAGAGCATACCCGATGAGCTCCACAGGTGATGCCAGAGTCGGTGGGGCATAGGCTTTTTGAAAAACATTGGCTTTTAGGCTTTTGAAAAAGCAACTTTGTAAAAAGCGCGATTTTCACAGAACCACACGGAATCGAGCATCGCGAGCATCGGCTGGTCGAGCTGTTGTCAGGTCCGAAGAAAAACAAAGATGAATGGAACCCGTCTAGAACCCTGCAGACAACCTGAAAGTCTAAGCCAGATATGGCTCGTCGGCAGAGTGGTCTGGAAGTGCCTCAGCATCATGCCCACATCCACCTGACCGAGGAGGCAAGTAGAATCAATACTAGGGCCTTACTGACTGGCGGAGTGAATGTGTTTGATTATTTAGTCATCTTCTGAAAGGGAACCCTATGGAATGATGCCGGCAACTATTCAAACGACTATGTTAGAGTTTACGGTTCGGTGGAGATTGTCGGCTTCATGCTACGAGCTTGAGGTGCTAGGCACTGTGCGCAATGCTTACGCAAAAAACCTAAAACCCTAAGACCTTCACCCCGAAAGCTTAGCCGTAAACCCTAAACCCCAAAACCTTCACCCTGAACCCCGAACCGAAAACCTAAGGCCTGAACCCTAAAAGCCTTAAGCCCGCACCCTGAACCCAAACCTTAAGCCCTGGACCCGAAAGCGGGTCGTGCGTGAGACTGGACTGCAAGAAGCCCCCGATAACCGCAGCTCCAAAAGGAAGTTGAATCTTCCCTCGCAGCTGCATCCCCATCACAAAGACGGGGACCTGAATGACTTTAACAGCGAGACTAAGACCTGTTCGTTGGGGGCTGCACCCTAAGTGAAAAACTCAGTTCCCTGTGACGTAAAGTAGTTTCCTGACATCCCTGACACACAGGGTATCGGGATCCCCGCGTCTCTCTCATGTAGCTAGGCTCCTCATGCTAGCATAGGGCCCAAGCAACCACAAGACTTTGGGAAAACGGTTTAGGCTTCTGGGTAGGATTTGGGTTTAGGCTTGAGGATTTGCATCTACCACATGAACCCGACAAAAGCATGCCTTGCAGACGTGACTAGGCTGTAGGACACCCAGAGACTCCAATACTCCAATATCCCGGAATTCAGGCATATACCTTAAATCATATTAGGGATCCTACTATAGTTTAGGGCATATTACCCTGAGGCTCCGAGTCCTCATATGTTAACAACTCAGGCCAAGTGTTGCTGAGCCAAGACTTATCACTCAGTTTATGTCCAGTGAGTATCTTGGCTTAAAGGCTTCTGGAGGATGGTTTCAGAGCACTACATCTAGCATCGTCAAAACTCAGATCCTCGATAAGTCCTTTCAAATTACATCTCTAGATCAAATGTCTAGCCTTGGCCGTACCCCCCCCATCCATATAGATGTTGCCTTGCCCCAGGAGTCAGCTTTAAGAAGTGCCATCTATCACCCATCAGCCTGATATCCAAGGATGATTAACCTGTAAGGGTTGACAGACATCCTGGTTCCGGATACTTCGCCAATTAGTTGCAGTTTTTGTCGAACGATGCTTCGGGCGTCCCTGCTTTTCAAGAAGCGGCATGCCAACCAGAAGGGAGGTGCGACCCTGCAAACCCGCCATCCGTGCACGTGCCCTGCTGGTTGCATGTGCAGTGCTGTGATTGTTGTGCTTCACCCATCATGATGTGAAGCAGCTTTCAAGCTTCGAAGACTACTCGCTAGGAGCAGGGTGACTTTGCATTGCAACATGCACTCATGTGATGGCCAGTCGAAGTCCACCTTGCTAGATCTCTGTCTGTTTGCGTGCGCACTTGATTCCCGGTGAGAGTGGTAGCCATGGCTGTGGTCCAACGGGAGTTTAGCCAGCCCATGAAGTACTTTTTGACAGCTGCTGGGCTAAAATAGTTGGGTGTGTGCAGTTGTCAAGGTTCTGTTCTAATTCGGTATTCCTGCAGACACCATGTCATCAGGAAGGTGCTGAAAGGGTGGCAAATGGTTGCCGCCCCTTCCTGGAAGCCAATCTGCAACGCATCAAAGCTGATTCGGCACCTTGCCATCAACTTGCATGTCTGTGCAGCAGCATGTGGAGCCGGGTGTAACTAGAGATGTATTCAGGCTCTCAGCCTGGTGTCGGAGGCCGCAGAGGGCAAGGTGGGCCGTGAATAATGCATGAGACTACATTCCTTCTTGTTGGCCTTTCTCAGGTTGGGGATGCAGCCTTTTGCAAGAACTATGCGCTTCTGAAAACTTTCATCACGCTCAGCATTGCTCCGGATATTGGCATTCCAAGCTTGGGTGACTTCAAGGCTCCTCGTTCTATTTGAATTGAAAGTGTTCCTGTCGGACTTGTGTGCATCCACTGTTCCTGGAATTGCTCTTTCGGGCAGATTGGGTTTATCCACCTCTCCTGTGTGTACTCTTTGCACTCGGCGGTGCGGCAGCGGGGAGGCAAGGCCATTGTCAAGGACGTGCTTGAATCAGATCCCCAATTTGTCATGATGAGACAGTTTAGATCTGTACTTCAATATGACTTGCTCTTAGCAGGAGTGGTCCTACCAGGAAGGGGCCAAACTACGCCAGTTATTGGCCAACCTCCAGCGTGTGACCAAGCGAACCATTCATGCGAAGTGCCTCATTGTGCAAATAGACGTATTAAATTACTGAAGCCATAGAACCCTAAACCAGCACGAAAATTATTAGCCCCATCCCAGGTCTACGAAGACGATGATCCTGAAAAGGCTCTTTGCTATGAGGATGGGGTGGCTGAGCATGGAGGCTCCGATCCGACTAAACATATATAGATCTATCTAGCTTATATTTCAAGTGGAACACCCGTGAACCCTAAGCCCAAAAGCTATAGCTACATATAGTGTACCACATGAGTTGTACATGTGTTATTGGGGGATTCAGGCCGAGGGTCTGAGGCCATAGAGCTTGTGCAGGTTCTTGCATGCCGACATTAAACCGTGAGCCCCAAATCCCCAAAACACTGAAATTCAGGTATCGATCTAGGCCCTATCCACAGGTGCAGATCTTCGGATCCCATCCAAACCCAGATTCAACCCTAAAACCCTAAACCCCACCCCCCCACCCCCGAAAACCGAAGCCTATCCAGTTAAAGTCCCGAGGACCATAGATACCCTGAGAAACTGGGATGGTTTTTTTTCTCGCGAAAACTGAGGAAGCGATGGCAGATGCTGAAGAAGCCAGCGAAGACGCTGGAGAGCCTGGTGATGTGGCATTGGAAGACGGGTCAGTGGATGATCCCGAGGGTGATGAAGAGGCTGCAGGGGAGGCAAACGATGAGTCCCCGGATGTCCGACCCCGCAACCTGGAAACTGTAGCTGGGCTTAACATCTTTACGTGCGAATGAAACCCTGCACGGACCCATTGTAGCAAGCTCCACCACTGAGGACCTGGAAAATGTCATGCATCGCCTACTCTCGTCCCAATCCCTCAGCAGGGATGGAGAGGCCCTTGTGCCTGGGGACTATGCTGGGCCATCAGTCTTTCGACTTATCAGGTTTGGAATTAGAATTTTAACTTCACCGGGTGATAGATTATCGGTTCATACTAACTACATATGTTACACTACAGCTAAGGATGTGCCAAATCCTATGGAGATTCTTGGGACAGAGGAGCTGGATGATCTAGAGCCGGAGTTTGCTGGCCCGGAGGTGCATTGCTCCGAAATCTGCAACAGCAATCACACCATTAATGCGCAAAACCTGCTCTACACATAAGCATAGTTGCTGAGGATGTGCCACATCCCTCGGAGATTCTTGGGGAAGGGGAGCTGGAGGATCCTGCAGAGGAGTTTGCTAGCGCAGAGGTGCATTCCTGAGAAAGTCCTCTGTATATGTGTTGGCAGGATCTGTGACAATCATGCTAGAGAAAGCCTGATCTACTTAGTAATGCTGCCTATTTGGTGGTCCTTATCAGGATGTGCCACATCCCGCGGAGATTCTTGGGGAAAAGGAGCTGTCCGAACTCGAGTCAGAGGAGAAGGAGGGCACAGATGTTCCTAGACGATGAATCTAATATAAGAAGCTGCTGAAAGTTCATGTAATCATATTGGCCATGGTCTATATTACCCAGCTGTCGTTCTACTCAGGACCTGAAAGATCCCATGGAGCTTGCCTTGGAAGCGGAGATGCAGCGTGCCGAGTCTGAGGAATGGCCTGGGTCACCACTTCCAGATCCTAGGCTAAGTTATTATAATGACATTACTGCTGGATTCGAGGATTGCTCTGCATCAAACCGGAATCGTAATTGCCACTCAACATGCCGACTCGACTTGAGCTTTTGTGCACAGGAGACGGCTGAAGCTGGGCTGGGTGATGATGGATGCGAAGCTGTAGAGTCGGAAGAGCCTGGCCTACATTATTTCACTTTTTGTCACCTAGCTAGCTAATGCTAGCTGTGATATACATTACCATGAATACAATGTCAATAACTTAATTAAGTTATTGACATTGTATTCATGGTAATGTATAGCACAGGTATAATACGATAATAATTACAGCTCAACTCAACTTCTGAGCATGCTTGTCTCTACTCAGGCTCTTGATGTGGCAGCTGCGATGTGTCTTCCCAATGACTCATCAAAAGTTCCCTGGACTGAATAATTAGTCCAATGTCGTTAACAGAAGTTTTCTCATTCGAATCTACATCCACATAATGTTAGACCCTCTCAACCAATACTAAGATACTTGCTGGAAAGGCTCCTGCAGCTACCACCGAGAATGTGAAGGCCAGTACGAAGATGTCAGGCAGGAAAGCAACCTGGCACCAAACATTGATTTTTATATACTTGCTCATTACCCGGCCACAAATCCAATTTCATAATATCCAAAACCTGGAGGTGTGAATGGGACGATAATGCTAAATGGCTATGACTAGCTGTAGGTATCCTGCACCCTAAAGGCCGAATCAGATATGCTAATTGTCAACCTTATCTAGCTTTTACTCGGATAATGAATCACCTGCGGCCTTAACCCCAACATGCCAGATTAGGTTCCCAAGCCTCTGGTGGCAAATGCAGCAGATCTTCCAGCAGAGCTTCGAGAACTATTGCAGGAGGACACTGCAGTAGTCGATGCCAACAAAGTGCTGACAAAGCAGCGGCTAATCAAAAAAGAATACAAGCAGGAGCTGGCCCGAAAGAAGGCTGGATAGAGTAAAGCATGCTGCTATGCATTGGCCATAATCTGATGCTTGAACTCCTTGCTTTGTAGTGGTAAAGCAGGCTGGCGAGAATGAGCAGCAGCAGAAGCAGCAGGAAAGCTTGAAGCGCAAGATGAGTGTGGCCGATGGTCTTTCGAATGCTGAGCCAGTTGTTAGCACACCTCCGCCTGCTGCCAGGGCCGAGCCTAGCAGTGCCAGTGACCCTAAGCACAAGAACCCCTGCCCTGTACGAGGGGGCAAGGGCAAGGGCAGGGGCAAGCGGGCCAGTGGAGATGCCAAGCCGAAGCGGGAATCCGGGAAGGGCAACAGCAGGGCTGTGGATGCAAAGGACAACGACACAGGCAAGGGCTCACCTCGTGATGCAGAGCAAGGCAAAGGTGGCAAAGCAAAGGGTGGCAAAGGCCACAAAGGTGGCAAAGGCAACCCGGATGCTGCACTGAGACGGCAGCAGCTGTCCGATGAAAACTTGAAAATTATCCGTGGCTTGGCCCCAAAGCACCCAGAGCTGCAGCCACAGGTTGGTTTCACAGCCAAGCGGCTGTGATGCACTATTGTGGTCATCATGTCGACTACACATTACAGAGTTCTAGCTTGTGAAGCTTGGACATGTTCTATCTAAGGAGCTACACCGTTACGCCACCTCGGGGAGTAAGTGACATCCCAGAGATCTGCCCGGTGACAGTATGTTTGTACAGCAGCGTGTTCTATGTCAACCGCACGATCAAGCTTGCTGATGCAGAGGCTTATGGAGCTTCCTGACTGAATCCTGTAACTGGCCCCCCGAGTCTTGCAGTACTAGCCTGTGCCACATTGCAACCATCTTCACTCCCAGGTAAGTGTGGACAAGAAACATGGCTCCACGATCTCGTGGATGAAGCACGGCGGAGTTTGCCGGGCGCAGCTTGATAGCCTGAGTTGCAGCATGCATATGTAGCCAGGATCCGGCATGTACCGACTTGAAGTCGTTAAGGCGATATGTACACATGAAATCTAAGGTGGGCCTTGGCAACCTTTTTGGCAGGTTGGCATGGTGATGTGGACCCCATCGATGAGCTTGATGCTTCTTGGCTATATGCACAACTTCAATTTTCGAGCCGAGTAGGATCGGAATTAAGACCCGGATGCGGGCATTATGTGCTGTAAGTGCAGCTACTCTTTAGAGGGGTTGTTATAATAATTAGGCCAGGGTAGTCTTCGATATCTAGCTAGTGCTCGATTGTATACTCGAGGAGGGGTTATAACCAAATATGTTTGATTTTTGTATGGTTTAGGGTCCCAAACAGGGATTAGGTTCTGGTTGAGGGCTTACTTGCAATTATGGTAATATCACCATTGGGCCCTGTGGTCCTGCATTGATGGAAAGTCTCGCATCTCACAAAACAGGGCCCATGACCCAGCCCCGAACACTAAACCATATTTAGTGCTAAACCCCAAACCCGGCCCCAAAGCCTAGTAAGTGTATTATAAAAAGCCCTGGACTTCCCAATCCTCGAAATCAAGAGCCCCGCATGTACATGTAGCTACACCCCGCAATTGCAAGGATTGTACTGGTACTTTGATCTCGATGCCCTGAAACTTGTAAAGACCCCTAAACCCCCTTCGAAACCCTATAATTATAGTCCCGAATCTGCACCATTATTACAATAAATTAATCATAATAACCCACCCACAACCCTCCACGTTGCAGGAAATCCCGCCACCGGCGAAGAGAGTGCGGAAGTCTTCGAAGAACTGATAATTTTGTCCTTGATAGGTACAACTGTGCCGATGAAACTCGGCCCGGCTTTATCGATGAGGTGTTGAACTATCAACGCCATTTGGGCTGCCTATAACACTCAGTGATGGGCTTCTTAATAATGAAATGGGTTCGGTTGCATGTTCGATACTTCCTAACCCTAGGGCCTGCTAGAAGTAACATGTAGCTACTTGGAGCCTTGCTTGGAGTGTTTGTGCTGTCCAATCGACGAATTTCACATGCATTGAAAATTCAATGCTAGTAGGACTATGCCCTGCAGGGTTGACATGATCAGGCATGAACAACTCAGGGTGCAGAGCTGCTTTCGGTATGAGCTTTTGTGCAATTAACAGCTGTGCTTGTGCTTGTTGGATTGGCTGTGGCCGCAAAATCTCAGCAACCAGAGCCGGGCAGGGAATCGGATTGTGGTGTTCCATGCTATATACGTTGTACTTATACATATTAGCTAAGTTTGCAAATAGATTGTATCTTGAAGGGGCTTCTTCAGGACCTGAGGCTCATGAGGTTTGATTATTAGTATACGCACAGCTGTGGGCTTGGAAATGCAATATTACTGGCCTGGGATATCGGCTACATGTGTGTCGAGTTATTGGCATAATTAGGTCAAGTGCACCATGGACCGGTGCCAACAGCGCACACTGCCCTTGCAACTGTCTGCTGTCACCACGGCTTTGCTCTTTCTGTTGCACGTTCCTCCGATTCTGTGACGTGGCTGAATAACACCATCAACCTGACCACAGTAACAAACCTGATTCCCCTTTAGCACGCCGTGTCACCAGGGTGCACGCAGCCGACTTCGTGGCGCAGAGGTCTGCCCAGATATCAGATCCAGAGAAGGAGAAGGTGCATCTTCGTGTCGCCTGTCAGTGTATCATGATCAGAATCGTTTGGACTTGAGGTTTCAGTACCATAAATCCATGCAGCCTGTTGCTGTGATCAAGGATGCTCAGTGCACCGAGCTTTTCTGTGGTGTGGCTGCTGTTGCAAAGGGCTTTCGAAACTTATCTGCAGTAGCAGGGTTGCTGGATGAGTGTTCTGTGCATAGACTTCGAAGTCACTGAATCCACAAGGTGCGCGAAATCACAAAGCGTTACATGGTTCAGATTAGATCTGGCATTTCAAGTCGGGTTGTGTGTGTGATTGCATTGCAGCTGGGGCAAGGTGTTCTGGTTCCGTCTAGATCTGATCTTGGCATTCGAGGCTGACATATGATCGGACACGGTACAGCGACCAGGATATCGAAACGACCCTTGGTTTTTTCCTTGCGATACAGTATGCTTTGCGTCTAAAGAAAAAGGGATTGCTTTTCATGGGCATTCCATGCTGCAGCTTCGCCTGGGTCTGCAGCTCCAGACATCGCCGAAGTGAACATGAGCCCTTCGGTGACACCTCGCATTCCTTTGTCATCCGGGGAAACAAGATATGTTGCCGATCAGTGTTGGTAGCACTCCTGGCAATGGCCAGAGGTGCATTTTATTTCGTGGAAAACCCAGTGAGATCTGCGATTTCATTCTACCCGTACATGAAATTTCTTCTATCTCTTCGACTTTTGGATTGCAATTTGATGCAAAGCCATGTTAGCCGATGGTGCCCTGGAGCCAGTATCAGCATTTATTACTTGGAGGCCCTTTTGACTTAGTAAGTGGGGTTAGTAAGCTAAGTTATGGGGATTATAATAGGGTTTCTAGGGGATACTAAGTAGACTTACTAAGTCAAAAGGGCCTCCAAGTAGTGTTTGTGTTATCGATAGAATTTGTGTAGAGCTCCCTGTATACTGTAGTGTCGCTTTCTCTCACTGCCGGTGAGGTGGATGGGTGTGTACGGACACTGGTGCTGCAAGCCAAGTCTTGGAATCAGCAACTGGTCGGACACCTAGCACTTACTAGCTGAAGCGCAATGCACAGAGATGATTATGCCTGTTCGAGTTGATGATGCTGAGTCCGTGGTCCATCAAACTTCACATCAAGCTTACTGCGAAGAAGCGTGAGGAAATAAGTCAGCGAGCTGCTACATTGAACAAGAAAACTGTCACCCGTTCTGTTTGCAACAAAACCGGGAAGAGGCGAGTGATGCTCAGCTGCAAAGTACTGAAACTGCATCATCATATGGGTAAAGACCGCAACTTAATAATACCACCATGATGGCCTGAAGGACGGGTGCCAAAGACCTGGCCTCATCCGCGGCCTACCCAAAGGATTTCGGAGACAGAGTGGCTGAACTTCATGATGAGCTCGTGCCTTGGATGGATCATAGAACAGGCTTCAGACTGCAGGTTTGGAGTTTCGCCTTCGAGGGTCATCTTCGTTCCAAAGGTGAGACCCAAGCTGTACTTATAATACTAAATGATTTATAAATATAGTTAGGTAAATTGGATCAGGGGCTTTTAAAGTATAGGATTAGAGATCCCATGGCCTTCAAAACCAAAGTGTGCTAATTAGGCATGGCCACGAGGCACATCTTACTAAATACGGCTTGCACAATGGCGCCCAGGATGGACTGCTTTGAATGTTTTCGTACTGTAATGTAGGGTTGGACTAGTAGGACATGTATTCAGGCATGTGGGGTTTCTTGAAATGGTGGAGTTTAGGCTTCAGTGCATACACTTGGGGTTTGAGGTTCATGCTTATAAATTAGTAACTGGTCTGTGGTGATCCGAAATCTATGTATATAATTCTTTTAACTTAATATACATGCCAGTAGATGAATCGAATAGTCTCTACAAATGCGCTGGCCTGGACCCGATGCCGGTGTAGTCGTAGAGTACATGTTTTCAGGTTCGAGCTAGTTTCGGGTCAAGAATCTAGAGCTTCATGGTTTATGGTTTAGCATCGCTTTTCTCTCATGTTTGGAACCTTGCTTAGTGCTTCGGGTTTAGGGTGTTTTAGGGCCTTGTCCAGGGTCTCATCTATCGTCTCTACTTGGTGAATCTCCTTTTGTGGTCTTCTAGTTGTGGATTAAGGGGTTAGGAATGAGTGGGATTTCAATCAAGGTTTGGGGTTCCAGGCCGCATGTGCATTAGGGCATTAGGGTGGGTGTCAGGCATGGGGGGGGTACTATATCGGAACAAACAATGTGTATGGCACCGCTGATGCGGTTATGGGGTGAGTGGATGGAACCAAAACAGCTGTGGGCTGACATCGTCGATACCCCACTCGAACTCCAATCGGTGCCGCTTTCGCAGAAGCTTCCGCAGTCACTGTCGGAGCCACTATCCGAGCCACTATCAACGGAGCCGGTAAATGAAGAGGAGCTATCATCTCCGATTACCGAGCACTGCTCTGCAGTATGCATGGTGCAATGACGGCAAGCCACAATCGCGAGTTGGTCATCTATCGGGGTCCCCCCCTGCCTTGGATCATTCGAATCACTAACACCGTTTAGCTTAATTCTGCAGCTAGTATACCCCTGTCCTTGCTAAGGATCCTCTAATTTCACCCCCGGCCAAGTTGTTGGGCTTGTGAGCCTACATTACCCCAAACCAAAATCGGAAATTCAGCTAATGAACCCAAGACCCTAATCGCTTAGCTCAGCTAATGAACCCAAGACCCTAAGTGCTTAGCACAAGCTGCATGTGACCAATGTGCTAGCTATGTACAGGACCCGATTGATCTCCAGACCCCTGAAACACCGCTAAACCCTAAACCCTGCTTTAGAGCCTTGCTTCGTCCAATGTCTGGGGTAGACTCCAACTTCACCCTTAGCCTGGAAACAAGGTCTTAAGTCAAAGGTTTGGTTTCCGGATTTAATTTTAGTGCTTAAGGCGACTATGCATAAAGTGTGCTATAGAGTTATAGTTCAATGGTTGCGGTGTTCAGGTAGGTTGTGGTTTGGGGTGGTTGGTTTTAAGTCCCGGTGGCGGCTTCTAGTGCAGAGGAGGAGGGCAGGTATGATGATTTCGGGTTTAGGTATAGTAGCTTTGTGTCGGCCTTATAGCACTAGGACTAGGAGTTGGATTCAGGGTTAGATCGTGAGGGCAGGTATATAATGATCTTGAGTGCTCGGGTTGAGGTAGTCTGTTTCGGACTTGTAGATAGGCCAATGAATAGGATTGAGGTTTCGTTTGTGAGGGTGTGTAGTAATTCCGGGTGCTCGGGTTTATAGGTAGTTTTCGTGCTTGTAGCATGATGGCACTAGGAATTGGATTGGGGTTTGGATCCTGAGGGTAGGTAGTGATTCGGGGTGCTCGGGTTTATGTGCTTTAGCTATGTACATTAGGGTCTTGTAGGTATGTTAGCGGTAGGAATCGACACAAAGGCCAGGTACATGTAGAGATTTCGGGTGCTCGGGTTTAGGTGCTAGCTTTGTTTCGGGCTTGTAGTACTGTAGCATATAGTGTAGGAATTGGCTTCAGGTCCAGGCAAAGAGTGTATGTGCTCCTCAGGTTGAGGTAGTACAGCTTTGCTCCGGGGTTGCAGTGTACGACATCTTGATTCGGACCAAGTCTAGAGGGTACGTGGGTCCTCACGATTAAATTGTTGGATGGGTATGATCGATGTAGCTGCAATGTAGCTACATTTCGGTGACCATTTCAGCTAATTGATCCCGAATATTCTCATCAGAAGTATAATATAATGGATCCTGCCCACTTGGACTCTGGATCCTGAAACCCGTCATAAGTATTTATATATATATATATATTATCACCGAAATTCTTGGCTAATTCGAATTAGCCAAGAATTTCGGTGATAATATATATATATATATATATATATTTCTAAATCCTGCATACCCTCCTCCTAAACCCAAGTAAGCACCCTTCTGCCAAGACCCAGGTCTCTTCGCTGCAGCCATCGGCCATGGACCTCCATCGACTTATGGAAGAGGTCCGATCGGGGGCAATCGTGGTGGCAAGCTCAGGGTACCGGTTTTAAGCTTGGGTGATGCAGTTGTGTTTTAGGTGTAGTTTCCTTGAACCCCATATCAAGGTGCCAAGTCTTCCGGATGGTTGTGATTGGCGCGAGGCAGATCTAGAACCTGTGAATGATTACCTTAAACAGGCTGCTTTGGATGGGCTTTTCTTTCCGGATCCCACTGTGCCGTGGGACACCGTACCAATCGCATAATGGGTTGCTGTGCCATGTGCAACCTGAGTGTTTCATCATCAGTGTGTGGATGTACACATGCTAATTCAGTAGAGATGGAATGGTCCATGTGCTCGGAGAACACAAAGCCTCACGTATGCACACATGGCCTGGCTCTGTGTACACATGTAAATAAGATATGCAACATGTACATATATACGCATACATGCAACATGCCGCCGTTGTGCTCTCCGATCATGCAATTAAGCAAGTGGCAACCTGTGGACAAGGTGCAGATGCAGTGTGGAGGATAAAGTTTGATCGCTTGTGGGGTGTTTTCAATCATGTCAGGGCCAACGAATAAAGTACGACCCTAAGGGTCCGAGCAGCTAATTATAAGATACTCTCCCAACTAGTAACCTACATAACGTAACCATATTCCTAAACCTAATTACTAATTATATTGGGCCCTTTGGACCCTTAGGAGTATAGCCTATTAATATCGTGTACTGTTATTCAAATGCTGGCTAGAAAATGTATATAATATACGGGTTCAGGTTTCGGTCTCAGGTCCTAGACGGAACTATAGATCTATATAGCTATAATATAGCTAGGCTGCACACCTAGCTATCTATATAGGGCCAGCCCCTGGTCTTTCATGAGGGTTAATTAAGAGGTTCTTGAATTGGGGTTCGGATCGATTGGGTTAGTGTTGTGGAGCTTTGGCTTTGGGTGCTTTCTGTGGGGCTGAGAGTGTTGTTGGCCGCCATATAGCTAGATAAGCTCATCGGTATGTATATGTATGAGACATTACTACTAAGGGTTTACGCATGAAACCCTGTACTTAGACACTAGATACACGTAACTTCGCGTAACTTCGCGTAACTTTGGCGTAACTTTACGTATTGAAAGTTCGTGTGGAGCGTGGTTTTATCAATGTAAAGCTGTCAGAGAAAGGCCTTACAAGATGTAAGCGTAACTCACCCGTAACTCCGCGTAACTTTGTGTAACTTTGCTTTGGGCCTTTGCTGTTGCTGTTCGGCTGAAACCTTATGTGGCAGGGTTTTGTAAGCCAGAAGCTAGGGTGCTCTGGCTTCTACGATCGACTTGTGCTCTTCAACGAGCAATGCCACCTACGCTGAGCAAGAATGCTCGATCCGAGCCCTACCCCGTGAAGAAGAAAGAGCCTCAATCCCGAGTTCCCTGGTTCATATATATGTATGCATGCGCCTGCATTGACTCTAGATCCCTGTCACCACAAAACCCTTCAATCAGGATCCCTCGACCAACTTGAAAGGCTCCGGCTTGAACGTGCGGGAGGAACTTGCAAGTGCTTTGGGAGCAGGTGCATGACATCTTGTTACTTAACCTCCCCAGTACCTAATAAAACTTTTGTTCTAATCTCCCCCTTAAGTGTTTCAACTTCGATTCTTGGATCCCTGTAGGTAGCAAGCTTCCCTGCGGGGCAACCACACCGAGACCACAGCAAGCCAAACCCAAGTCGACGACGGTGGGAACTGCATCTGCTAGTGCTACGCCTATCAGGAGCCCGCCCTGTAAGAGGACCAAGAACAATGGCCCGCCTGCGATCCAGCACAAGCCCTCCTTCTCCAGTGATGAAGCCTCGGCAACATCCGGTAGCCACCCGGCATTTCTGGCTCGGGGCTTTGAGGGTTAGGCTATTGGGCTTTAGAATGAAGGTATTGTCGGGGCTTTGAGGTTTAGGCTGATGGGCTTCAGAATTAAGGCATTGGGTTCATATTCTAGGTGTTATTCACAACATATATATATGTACATAATATATATATATATATATATATATATATAGTTACAATAACCCGAAGTCAAGATGGCCTGTACATGTTATTAGCTTATTAGGATGAACTATTAAATTTAATTTAAACAGTAACTACAATTGCAATACATTAAAGTTATGAAGATGTGTGTCACTGGCATTTGTCATCGAGTTGATACTCTCAGCTTGGCAGCTTGGGGTTTGTAGTTTTTTTTAATGGCCAATATAATATATATATATATATATATATTTAAAGCTGCTGTAGTGTCTGGATCTTGTTATATTATGTGTATAATATATATATATATATATATATATATAGATGGTCGATATCGTATGATCGCTATATCTTATAATTATTTGAGTTTACTAATCATTAATAATTATTAGCTAGAACAATAAGTGACTAGTATAGTTAAATAATACAATAGCATGCAAGGCAAGCATCGAGTGGGGCGGATGGACACTCGTTCAACTGTGCCGATGGAGAGTCAAGGATCCCCAGCTGGAGATGGGCCGTCTCCGCTGTTGTTGTCTGACTTGCTGCAGCTGTCGAAAGATGAGCTTGGGGCATGGCTGTTCCTTGAAGGCACGGGTACACAGGGGCTCAGTCCCGGTGCCAAGGCTTTCTTTGACTGGGTTCGGGGTGACTTCCTTGAGAGTGCCGAGCATATCTTGGATGCCAGTGATGTTGGGCGCTTCGAGACTCTGTTCCGTGTCTACGAGATCACAAAGGACCTTGTGACGGAAGCCATAGCAAAGGCTGCCGCCAATGTGGAGTTCAAGACAGTTGTATATGACAAAGTCATGAGCACGGCGCAGCAGGCAGTTGCTAAGGTGGTTCAGCAGGCTGGAGCAGCGAAGGATGATGAAGCGAAGAAGCAACGAGCCCGGGTTGCCGAAGCGTGGCTCAAGAAGGAGGCTGCAGGTTTGGATTCGAAGAAGCGGGCACATGCTGCAGCGGCTACCAAAGCTGCAACCTTTGCAGCCGGCAAGTTGCATTGCTTCATTGCCCATCTGAGAGAAGCAAATCTCCTCAGCAGCACATTCGTAGGCCTCATGGAAACCTGGCAGGAGCTGGATGCTTGTGACAGCATGGCACGCAGGCTCAAGCCAGCGGAGCATGAAAAGCAGATGCAGTTTGCCGACACACAGGTGGATGTGCAAACGGACACGCTCCTGGAGAAGGAGGTGGGGTTGGCAGTTGTAGCAGCACCGGGTTATCTATATATTATATTAAAAGAATTATATATTATAATTGTAGTCGACTATAGCTATAGACATAGCTATTTATTATAATAATGAAGTATATAATATATAATTAATTATATAATTAATTGCGATATTGGACCCCCTGGCCACATCACCCCTAAACCTTAACCCCCCTGAACCCCTAAACTCTAAACCATGAAAGCTCTCAACCCCAAACCCCGAAACCCTAGACCCTAAACCAAAAACCACCTGAAGGATGATGGCTCTGGTCGGGATGATCAGGCAGAGTCAGCCCCGGAAGCTCCGCAAGCAGCAGAAGCTCCGGAAGCTGCGGCTACGCAGATATTTGTGCCTGGTGATGGTGCTCAGGAAGAGTTGATCTTATCTGCAGTACCAGACCCTGGGCATCACCAGTGTGATCAGGCAGAAAATGCTGGGGAGCTTCAGGTGTCGTGTGGTCGGGAAACAGATCCTGGGCATGAGCAGTGTGATCAGGCAGAAGTTCGGGAGCTTCAGGTGCTGTGTGGTCAGGAAGCAGATCCTGGGCATCAGAAGTGTGATCAGGCAGAAGTTCGGGAGCTTCAGGCGCCGTGTGGTCAGGGAGCAGATCCTGGGCATCAGACAGAAACTGGGGAGCTTCAGGCACCGAGTGGTCAGGGAGCAGACCCTGGGCATCACACGACAGAAACTGGGGAGCTTCAGGCGCCGAGTGGTCAGGGAGCAGATCCTGGGCATCAGACGACAGAAACTGGGGAGCTTCAGGCGCCGAGTGGTCAGGAAGCAGATCCGGGGCATCTGACGACAGAAACTGGGGAGCTTCAGCCGAGTGGTCACGGAGCAGATCCGGGGCATCTGACGACAGAAACTGGGGAGCTTCAGCCGAGTGGTCACGGAGCAGATCCGGGGCATCTGACGACAGAAACTGGGGAGCTTCAGCCGAGTGGTCACGGAGCAGATCCGGGGCATCAGACAACAGAAACTGGGGAGCTTCAGCCGTGTGGTCAGGGAGCAGATCCGGGGCATCAGACAACAGAAACTGGGGAGCTTCAGCCGTGTGGTCAGGGAGCAGATCCGGGGCATCAGCAGTGTCATCAGGTAGCAAGTACCACGGTGGCTGAGCAGGCAGACAGCAGGGTTTAAATTAAATGCATTATATTAATCATGTTATTCAGTTATATTATTATATCTATATACTATAATCATATATCGGTGCTAGCTATAACTGTTGATCATATGCAGGACTTTACTTGCTTATATCCGGCCAGGCAGAGATCATCAACTGTGATGAGATTCCAGACGACGAGCTTGTTTCGCAGCTGGAGGCTGACCCTATCCCAAGACTAACTTATAGCTTTATGCCATGAGGTCAAGCCCTTCCAAGCAACATGCCATCCCACGATCCCAACCCCTACATATTAAGCTAGGCCAGATCCCAGACTAGACCTTCTCCCCCCCCAAAAAAAACCTTGGAGGCTCTCCTAAAGATCGAAGGGCCGGATGATGCTGCAAAAGAGCAGACAGTCGTCAATGTGCCCAAGCTGGAATCCTTGGCTAGCCCACAAAAGGCCCCGCGCAAGATCACATGGACCGATGAAGATACCAACCTCTGTGTGGATGACCCATACACGAATGTGGTAGAAGTGCCTACATGCTCTGCTGTCGATGCTGCCTTGCACAGATTGGGGACTGATGACATCCTCCAGGAGTGTGTTTTCTTTGAAAAACATGATGTACATGTGAATGCTAGACTGTATTAACTGTATACTAGCACTATTCGTTCACCCTGCCATCTGAAACACCCAGCTGCTCTGATTTGTGTGCAGGATCGGGTCAAGACTGAGCGGCCTTCTGCTTTGAAGAAGCCGGTTGCCACCCCGCAGGCTTTGTTGTCGACAGATTCAGGTTAAGGGATTGATGGGTGCTGGTAAATGTTAATTCCAAGAACAATTTCAAAGCCCTGGTTTTTGACTTCATATAATGTCCCCTGATACTACTATATAGCCTACTGGCGTGCTCGACTGGAACACCTTAAACACTAAACTCCCAAATACAGTAATCCCTGACCCTGAACCTCCCAACCTGTTGGCCCCAAACCCTGAACATAAGTAGTTGCCCTGTTGCTACCACCCAATACTATGTAAAGGTTTTAACCGGATACCTGCAGCCCCTGAACCTAGCCGGCCGGAACCCTGACTTCCCCTAAACCCCCAACTGAACTGATTACCCAGATGTGCTTGGAGGCGCCACATCATCAGCTGCAAGTCGCTGTTCCTGAGAAGCAGGATTGTGAGGAGGATGAGATGCGGGCAGCCGATCTTGCAAGAAGGGCTTCTCGTGCTAAGATGATGCGAACACTGACCCGACCCGTGTCTGAACAAAACTAATAAGCTACTGCAGGGTTTATTTCGAGAGCATATAGTTGACAATATCTACATAACTCAGGTTTACTTGGGGTGAGTGTGTGGGGAATCTAAATCAAAATATATACATCCTCTTCCATCAACCTTGCACATGTCCGTACTCCACATGGCTTCAGGTGACGACCTACCTCCTGCCATCCGTGCAAAGGCTGAGGTGGCCCAAAAGAGTAGCTCGGATAAAGATTGGGATTGTTTGCAAAGATGTATTGGACCAGCTTGTTGCCACTAACCTGTCACCTAAGCCGAAGATGTCTGGTCTACAGCTCTCGGTCTTCATTGAGTTAAGGGGAATCAAGGGCCCGGGTTTACCCGACCACATACACATGTACATGTTGCACATTCGACTTCAACTAAGCCCGCAAGTACGGTGAGCTTCTGGACCTTTTCATTGCTGCCGGTGGATGTTGGGCGGACTGCAGCTTGGTGCAAAACTCAGTCAGTGCAGAGAACCGCCTAATTTCTGGTGGCCAAAAGTACAAACGCTTCAAAGACATCGTCGCTGAAGAAGGTGAAGATCATGCTAAGAGCTTGAGGGACATGAAGAAGGAGCAGCAAGCTAAGCAAGGGGATCTTCATCCTGGAGTTCCGTTTTGGTACTGCCACCCAGACTGGCCTACGAGCCCTGTTCCTTGGATATTAGTCTCCATTCTCCCGCTTCGATTCATAATCCCAGGTGCTCTCACCAGTCCCGGCTTTATCTTGGAACTGCTATTGTCCAATCTGAGGACATGGAGTTGTTTCTCTGCTTTGATGAAGCCAAAGTGAACTCATCAAATGCTACATCGACAAGTACGCAGCAGCAAACTTCCATGGCAATCGATGGCAATCTTGCGAGTGATCTCCGGTGCCTCCTATGAAACAATAAACTTTGGACTTTATGAATTTGCTACTAGCTAAATCCAGTACCCTAGCCAAGGAAACTAGTCTAGAAACGGACACTTGGCTAATTGTACAACTATTATAAAGCTTCTGTAGAACAGCAGGGTCCATTTGATCGAGGACTGTGGGATAGCATATAGTAGTAGTGTATGCCGATCGGATGTGAGCTGTCTTGATGTAAGTACTATCGACTTAGTTTCGGGTTAAACTCTGGCCCAAATCCGTAGAAGGACCACCGTGAAAAAAAAAGTCGGCAAACCAAAACAGGCAGCCCCGAACCACAACGTCAAACCCCAAGCCCACAATCGACCGAATCTCCGAATCCTTGTACTGGAGATGTAGCCCTTAGACTTTTCAACTTCTAATACACACCCCAAACCCTTTTTCAACCCAGAATCTTGCACCGTTAAACACGTTAAACCCTAAAACCTAATCCCTGAATTGCTAGCTTAAGTTCCGACCCGAAACCTGATGAATGCAACACCCCCAGCCACACAAAATTAAGCCATCTAATTCCTGATCTGATCCAAGGTTTGCGGCTCCGACGCTGGCGGTGGATCCAACAGGCAGTGGCAGGGCATTGCAGCCGACGCAGAGCATGGAGAGCCTGCCGGATTCGATGAATCCCAAAGGGAAAGGAAAAAACAAAGGAAGGAGCCGCAAGGGGGATGATGAAGAGAACCCTAACCCACCGAAGAAGACAGCGAAGCCTAACTTTACGGGGAAAGCCAATGCCAAAGTGAAGAATGGTCGCACCACCAATACGGAGGCGAAATTCTGGCTACGCAAAATCCAGGCTGACAAGAACCAGTCGGAGGATGGCAAGCGCAAAGTGTTGCTAGTCTTGAATTATATTAATAATACTCTTCTTTGCTGATTGCTTCAGCTTGTAAGCAGGCTTTGCGGTTATGCTGCTGCTGAACACCCAGGTCAAAGGAGCTGGCTGATGGCTACCTGTCACAGATCACTCTCTACCAGGGCCCTGTGGATATCGCCACTGATGCCCTCGACATGAAGTTGATCGAAGGGGCCAAAGATGAAGCTTCGCTGAAGCCGCTCATGGAGGCCTTGGATGCGGCTTTGGAGGACTTTGCTACAGCCTTGCGGCCGATCAAAGCCATCTTTGCAACTTTGTTGCACTCATATTCTGAATGTACATAGCATGTTGGGGCCTAGACCTGTAATAAAATATTAATATCTAGCTGCATCCGAGGCTGAGCCTGATCCGAACAAGGGCGGTGGAGCCAAGAAGGGCAAGAACAAGACTCAGTGAAGAGTGCATGGGGTCACTCGTGAGTTTTGTTTGCGATGGTAGATCGGATTTTGCTGAACACATGTGAGATATCACGTGTGCAGATGGATGACAGAATCCACATTGGCCACGTAGCCCACCGCTTGCTGGGATCATTATCCTGCAGTTTATAAGTGCCTACAATCTGCAACTAATGTCAGATCAGGTGTCGGTGGTCAGTGGCTTTAGTTCGTGGTGATGTCGATACAATTGACATATGCACCAATCCGAAGTTCTTGCGGAAATCATGATGTACCCTAGTGAGAACCACGTGTGAGGGCGGCCTCACACAGTACGGGGGAACCTGTGCGCTAGAGCTCTCGCTGACAAATGAGCTAGAATACATTGCTTGCTCCTATGATCATGCTGGCTGGCATGCACCATATATTCGTACCGGTGTCATGACCCCGTATCCCTGCGCAGATGCTGCTTGTGCTCGTGGTGCCCTATGCCATCAGCTACGATCGATGATCACAGCAGGGGACCGTGTGGCCAAACTAGATGTACATGTAGCACTAGCCCTGTGTTATTTTAAAGGAAAGAATAAACCCCGACAAATTGAATACTTGACCCTCACGGGACTAGTGATGGTTATAATTCTAATTGACTAATTCGGCACCTAATGGCACACCCCGAACGAGCCCCTAACCTGCAACTGCGAATTTGCTCACCAGGACCTCAGCTATACCTCTGCCCAACGAGTGGCTCACGCAGCGGTCCAGGACCAGACATCCACCGGATTTCGGAATGTTATCCTATATATATATATATAGCTTGAACCCTTAGGCCTTAAACCCTGAAACCCTAAACCCGGTGTCTTCGACCGGGCTTTATAGCCAATTCCACAACCCTAAATCCTCGAACCCCTGACCCGTTAATGCCTAAACCAACCAACCCTGAAACCCTGAACCACAAACCCTCAACCCAAAACCATGCAATCCTAAACCCTCGAGCCCCCGACCCATTCATGCCTACACCCCACACCCCTTGAAACCACAAACCCTCAACCCTAAACCACATGCAATATATATAGCACATAATCTGCTTGGTAGCACTGCAAAATCTAGGAGTCATTTAACAAGACCCACCTTCAACTTAAGTCGATCCCTGCATGTTCCCTTGCAATCCAAGCTGCAGGACTACATGGCCAGTCATCTCCAACCTGATGATATGCTGGCTGCTCTGGCTACTGCTGGGGCGGAGGGTCGCCGGAGCTCAAACATTGAACGTGATGTATTACGACGTACCAGTTCTGGATGCAAAGCTGGGTTCTCATCTTTGGACTTCTATGCCTGCCCTTATACTTTTGGTCTAGTGCCTGGGTCATGAGATCCTCTAGGTGCCAATTCGGACAGTCATGGTGCCGGTCCGGAAACGGGAAAGAGGAGCCTGGCGAGTAGAGCAGAGGCCCTTGGACTAGCAATCTGTGTACTACATGCGCAAATCCATCATTCCTGTGATAGTGTGAACAATGCACAACTCATCCAAGGGAAATGCCCCTGGTACTTCCGCATGAACTATTGAATGAGCTCCACAATTCGGGTCGACTACGTGATCTATGCAAAGCCGAATCCTTGCAAGCCTTTTGGGACAACTTCAAGGCTCACGAATCTTCCCAAGTCCAGTGGCCCCGCCTCGGGACATGGGGCATGGTTCCACTGGGTGTCCATGGCGATGATTTTCGCTATCTTGAAAACGGAGGCAAAATCATTGCTTTCTCAATGAACATCTTAACTGATGAAAGCCAAGAGCGGTTTCCTCTCTTCGCCATCCGAGTTGTTCCTGAGGCTTTACTGGAACATTGTGTAAACTTTCTGTGAACTGATATATGTATAGTAGAAGCCAGAAAGTTGGAACATTTAGGAGGATTAGTGCTAGGATCCCTTATACTTTACCTTAAGGGCATGAGGCCAATGATGTTCCAACTTTCTGGCTTCTACTGTAGATGCCTCCGGATCCCTAAACCCGTAGCTCCTAAACCTCAGACTCCGAACTAGTAGGCTCTAAACCTATAAGCCAAAGAATGTTAATATTTATAGTTAAGACGAACTATTGTTAATGACTGTGACACCCCAGGCTTTGAGCACTGGCTTCCCGACGCTGCAGGCTTATATGCGCCCTGTGCCTCGGTTCATCACGATTGAGGGTTAAGGGTTGTGTTTAGGGGTTTTAGGGCGGGCATCGGGCTCCGGAATAGGGTGTTTAGCTGGAGTTTTAGGGTGTGTGCCGGGTGCCGGGCTCCGAACAGACCTGGAAGGGCTCTGGAGTTATTTGCTCATTTGTAGGGTGGGTGCCGGGCTCCGAAACAGGCTCGTGTGTTTAGGGCTCTGGAGAAATTTGCTCATGCACACATGCATGTACATGTACTTTCGTGATGTCTTTCGATTCGAACTGCAACTTAGATCGCCGCTTCTTTCAACTATTGTTTCCTGGGCATGGCTCCGCTTTATGTGGACCCGAACAACATCACACCAGAGGGTGTGGATCGAACTGACATCGAGGATCTGATGGAAGGCGAGTTTGTGGCCTTCCCAAAGGCCTACTTTTGTGAAGTACGCGCAGATTGGAAGTTCATGAAGGACCTAAGGGCTTCCAGCTACTAGTACTAGTACTTCTAGCTAGAATATTTCGAACTATACGATCGTGATAGATAGATAGATATATATGTATGTATAGAATTACACTTTTATGCTTATCTCTATTTTGTCCAATGCAAAGGAACTGTATAATTTGGCGGCAGCATGGAACTGCAAGTCGGTGTGTCATCACTGCCATGCAAGAGAAGGGACCTACCTAGAGTTTCCGTCTCAACTGGCCTTCCAGCCTCGGAGAAGCTTGGATGAGTTTGTGAGCATCTGCAAACCTCATAGTGGGGAAAGATGCCACTCTACTATTTAGTATTTTTCGAATTCCATTTCTCATAAGAGCTCTATATATATATATATGTTAACCTTGTTATCGATGGATTGGCTCTGTTGGCTTCAATGTCTTTCTGAGGCCACTTGATCAAAATCCGTGGCTTCCACCACAGTTGCCTTCGATGGTGCACAATGCACTCTGTCAATTTGGGTATCTGTTTATGGACGACGGCCTCCGCAATGATTACACTGCTGCATCTGGAGGATGCTATGTTGCATTATTTTTTAGCAATGTGTCACATGTCTGTGCATGTGTGCTTGCTCCTCAGGACCTTTGGCCAGCGCCACCGGGCACTCTTGCCAAAAACCGGCTGAATGTACGATTGGCCATAGCACATGAAGATTTTATGGTGTGGACTCGTGAGAGGAAAATCGAGCATCTGGCTTGCATTTCATTTTAGAGGAAAATATGCATGTACGTACATATATATATGTAAATATCCTCCTGCAAACATGTTGCCCAGCTAAGGCATTCACAGCCTGAGTTCCATGCGAAGAATCTTCGAGATGCTGCCACTGGCTATGCTGAGATGGCCATGAAAGCTTACAACGATTCTCGATGGCATCACTATGTATAGTAATATGTTCCCAAATTAAAACTTCAAGCCATCATGCTGAGGCCCGTGTTGTCACAGGATGGTTGGCCGATCTTGTGATCGGCTTGTATTCCGAGCGCGAGGATTGCAAGCACGAGGAGTTCAAGGAAATGGTCAAGTGTTTGCAACATGCCTACAGATCTACAGTTTTGGGCATGGTTGTTCATTGGATCCTGGGTTAAGTTTTGGGTTTCATTTACTGGGTGTCTGTGCTCGTGGTTCACTCGATTCTGACATCGGTTTTGTTTTTAAACAGGAAAGATAATAAGCCAAGGTATTGGCTCAATCAGTTCTTCCAAAGGATGGAGGAATACAATCGATTCTTGAATCCGGCCGAGAAGGCAGGCCTCACCGAGGCTGTGGTGCCTCGGCAGAACATTATTGAAGAAGGCCTGCACTTATATGCAATGCCTGACGAATTGAAAAATCTCAGGATTCTTTCGGCGTGGCCTATGCGAACCTTTCAATCTTGACTGCTTCCCGGTCTGAGAGGCTTTGGCCACTCAGGCCGAAGCTACATGCTACTTGGTCCAATATTCCCAGGTCACTGAAGTTCAGGTTTTAACTTCGTTTCGTTTCGTGCCTCATGTGTATATATGTGTGAATGCATGGACATGATAGCTCAGGCGTTGCAAGAGGCTGTGCACATGGCCACGATGGACGGCAGCTCGAACTTATCACATGATTCATTCGGTGAAAGTTGTTTCAGCTCAAAATAGCGTGGCAATCAAGCTTGACCTAGGTCAGAACCCAAAATATGGGCACACATTCAGAGATGAGAGTTATATGGGCACCTTGAAAGGCAGGTGTCGGCATCATGTGTGAAACATCGCAATCAAATATGTTTCTGCTCAGAACTGCGACAAGCAAAGTGCACAGGCATTGCGAAGCGCTGCCATCGGGCTACGTTGGAAACTTCTCTTTTCAAAAGAGTCTATGCTCAGTGACTTGATGGCAAGCCCGATGTGTCGATTTCCCAATTTTTGTGCTTGAGCTTGCTCTACGATTGTGCCGTGCAGCCCAGGTTTCCGAATATGCCATGAATGCGATGATGATGCAAATGTGTGGTCTGATCACATGAGTGGCTAGATGGCAAGCCCGACATGTCTATTTCCAACATTTTGATGCAAACTGTGCTGTGCAGCCCAGGTTTCCCGAAACACGATTAATTCGAGACAACAATTCACCGAGACGGTGCAAGCTGTGGTGGAGAAAAACGGATTCGATACTCACACTGGCTGATGATGAGCTCGACTGATTGGCATGGTGGACATATAGACATGCACATGTGCTGAAGATATCGGTACTTTAAGTTGCAAGCACTATATATGCATATATATATATATATGATATATA